TAGAGTAAGAAATCAGTAATATCAATCATGGCATGGACCTTGACACCGTCGTTCCACACCTCCCAATGGTCAGAGGCGTGTACAATAGCCATGTAATGGCCAGGCCCATGCACAATGCAGGCAGAGATGCAGGATGGAGGATTAAACAGCTCACCTGGTAGAGCATGGCGTAGTTCACATCAAGCTGCAGGGCAATTGCAAGGAAATCTGATGGTGTATACAACGGCCGATTGAGAACGCGAAGGCAGCTATTAGTTGCAGTCAGACCACAGAGATCGACGGGGATCTCAGGCTGATTTTGTTGGTCAGTCATTTGTAGATCACCCGTGGGGTCTGCGCAGGGTGGTGCACAAGTATGCGGTTCATCCATATGATCCTGGTCAGCCATTTGCAAATCCCTCGTGGGGTCTACGCCATGCGGGATTAAATGCAGTCCAAGCGGATCATGTTCCAGTCCCTCAGCGTTCGGGGCCACACAGGGTGGGGCACCAGTACGCGGTTCATCCATATGATCCTGGTCAGCCATTTGCAAATCTCCTTCTATGCATCGTCGTGTTGGGCAAAATACAGGCAACCTTACATATGCTCTCTCTCTCTCTCTCTCTCTCTCTCTCTCTCTCTCTCTCTCTCTCTCTCTCTCTCTCTCTGATCAGAAAGTTCCTTGGACCGCAAATAATACCATGACTGGAAATCCCTACTCTCACTCTTTCACAGTTGCAAAAAAAAAAAAAAAAGGGAGTTGCCCTGACTTTACCGTCTTCATCTGATTCTATCACCGGATTCGAACTGGTACTCTGTTTACTACCAATCACACGTGTGTGTAGCATTCAGCCACATGGGCTGGGTTGCGTGTTGATTGGCTTAATAATATAGCCCAACCTCGCAGGGTCCATTATGAGTACACACACGGGGATAGGGCTCTCACTATATTCAATTCCTTTAAAGTTCCTTGCTTTTTAAAAAGTTTGATGAAAAATGCTATTAAGTCCAAAAACTTTGGATAAACTTTTTTTTCTTTTTTCTTCTTTCTTTTATCTTTGTACTAAGTTTCAGTAATAATAATAATAATAATCAGAACATTCGCTCTAATGCATTTCGGGCCATCCTCACAGCAGGACTTTTCCATTGATTTTGGGACGTAATTGCAGCCAGATACATCCAGGATGCGCCACAATTGCAGTCAGATACATCCAGGACGGTCCATAATTCCTATCAGATAATCAGACAGAATCCAGGAGAATTTCCTATTGTGAAGAGTATGCTCTCATTCCTTTCAATACCACGGCAGGTCCCCAAACCCGGTCCCCGAACCAGGTGACGAGCCAGTAATTATCGTCATATCTGGGCTGGAAGTTGTGCCAAATACAGCTATAATGACCGGGCGTTCTATTCGGGCGAAGACGGTAGTACACGTCCCAGCCTTGCAGTCCGCCCAAACTTGTCGCCACAAGAAAAACGACTCAGAGGCCGAAACATCAAACGCTTCTGCGGGCTTCCAGAATTTTAGGTGTCAGGCCCGCGACCGCCGATCTAGTTTATCAATGGCGGGCCAACAACCGTTGATAAACTAGATCGGCGGTCGCAAAAAAATCGTTTCGCGCTTCCAGAATTTTCGGTGTCAGGGCCACGCCCCCGGCGCCCATGTACTTTGTTGTACCGGTACCGGTGCTTCAAACCGGGTGGTTTTGAACCAACTGGTTGGTCAAACCGGGTCGTCGAACCAACAATTGGTTGGTTGGTTGAACCGGGTCGTCGAACCAACAACCAAATGGTTGGTCGAACCAAATGGGACCCTTGGTTCCCATCGGGCCCAGGTGAGTGACCCAGGTGGCCCGATGGGACGCTTGGGTCCCATCGGGCCCAACAATTTGGACCCCAGGAATGCAGAGAATATAGAGTCATTTAGGCCCCATAATAGGCGAATAAGTACAGGAAAGGATGTAGTATACATGATGTGATCCCCAAAATGGTCCTCGGGCCGCTGGGACCCAAAGAATGGTCCCACCACCACGATTCGATACTAAGCCGATCAAACACAAGGTACTGTATCGTAGAAGTAAAACGCCTCATGTCATGTCATGTCGAGGACAAATTGAAGCTTTCAAACTGACCTGAACATGCAAAGCACACGCCAAAACGCTTGCGAGAGGGAGCCAGCTGTCGTCCAACGACAATGAGAGACCCGTCCTGCGATCCCCGTCGCCATCACCATTCCCACAGCCATTCCCATTGACACACAACACCAGGGAAAAAAAAAAAAAAAAAAAAAAAAAAAAAAAAAAAAAAAAAAAAAAAAAAGAAGAGGAAAGAAGAACCAGCAGCCAAACTGTCAGCCTTTTTCTCCTCAGTTACATAACTTTTTTTCTTTTTCCTTTTACCCTTCTGAAAGATTCTGTACCTTCCTTTTGTCCCTGTCACAGCTTCCTGCCCTTAACTTTTTCTGATTTATTTCCTCTGGTTCCAGTTGGATTGGAACTCAGGTCTGTACCGCTAACTCTGGGCAATGTGGTGAGTGCTTATCCATCAGTCAAACGCATCCTGGCTAGACTGCATGTCCAGGTTCAACCTCCTGGTGAGTCAGGGAAAGCCCGACGAAACAGTCTCTCTGGCACAGTCATGCTTTTTTTTAGTGTATAGCGAATATGACAACACACACACACACACACACACACACACACACACACACACACACACACACACACAGACACACAGAGAGAGAGAGAGAGAGAGAGAGAGAGAGAGAGAGAGAGAGAGAGAAGCATTGACGGTCTGCACGAGAGAGATGCTTTTTCTTAGTGTATAGCAAATATGACAACACACACACACACACACACACACACACAGAGAGAGAGAGAGAGAGAGAGAGAGAGAGAGAGAAGCATTGACGGTCTGCACGAGAGAGAGATGCTTTTTCTTAGTGTATAGCAAACATGACAACACACACACACACACACACACACACACACACACACACACACACGTGCACACATGCACACACACGAATGTGCATGCACACAAAACACACACCACACGCAATCAGTGCATGCACAAGCAATCGAAGACACCGACGATCTGCGTCACAGAAAACCTGCCGCAGAATCTGCTTCACAGGCAATGCACAGAAAACTGAGCGCACAGACGATCGGTGTCACTGGCAATCTGACACAGATTGCATGTGACACACAATCTGTCACGCAGAATGCACAGCCACACAGCCAATCCAGCAGACAAGCTTTCACACAACAGCCCATCAACCAGGCAGTCCAGTGCACATGCAACTTTCCACAAAAGCTCTTTCACAGACAATCCGTTAGACAAAAATCCGTTAGACAAAAATCCGGTAGACAAAAATCCGTCACACAAAATCCGTTAGACAAAAATCCGTTAGACAAAATCCGTTAGACAAAAATCCGTTAGGCAATAGGCAAATCCACGGCACAGATGTGCAGACAATTCGCGACACAGCCAGTTGGTTACACACGTCATCCGTCAAGGAAAAGAAGACCTGTTGTGCGCTACTCACAGCACATACTTGCACTGGTGATTTTCAACGGGTCTCCAGACATAATTACGGCCAGATACACCGAGGACAGGCCAGAAAAGCGTTCAGATGCATCCAGGAAAGTCTTACTGTGAGTACGGCCTCAGTGTCACACGCTCAAAGCGTCAAACAAACGCATTCCATTGTAGAGAATTCGGGGAAAAGAAGGGAAAAAAAAAAAGAGCCAACTCCGCGGCTAGCGAAAACTTCCCGAAAAGCAGTTTTTGAAATAAGCACAAATAACACAAGTGCCGGCAGAACACACGCGCCAAGTTCGAAAAAGCAAAAAACTTGAAAAAAGCAGCACGGCACTTTTGTAGACAGCGCGGATGTCATAAGTTCCCATAACTCTGCATCCGTGGGGCCCCACCGCCGTTTGACCTAGTCCACGGCGGGCCCAGATCAAACACGGCAAAAACGGCGGCGGCAGCTTACCAGCGACGGGCCGCTATTTTTAGTATTTTTTCAATTTTTTGTGCGATTTTCGCAATTTCAAAAAACTGCTGTCCGCCCGAAGTTGCTGTCACCTGTTTTTCAGCAAAAACGGCGGCTTACCAGCGACGGGCCGTGTTTTTTTTTTTTTTTTTTTTTTTTTTTTTTTTTTTTTTTTT